TAGGAGCAGTTTTATTTTAAATTTATTTAAAGCAATTTGAAAAACATAAACATAACTTGGGGAAATTTTAATTAACTTTAAAAGGCGCATAGGTACTGTTAAAGTTTTGAAAAAATTTCCGGTTTGGCTTTGCTAGTTTTGACAGGATGCGCTTCAATATCTGTTTTGTACAGACAGTCATTTTAACACTAATACACCGTTCACTAATAAGTTTCGAAACTTAAGAAGATAATGAAACCTGAAAAAAAAAACTTTCAGAATACTGCCTCATCGCCGAGCTCATCAACATCTGACACCAACTCTCCAGGACATAGCAAAAATCTAGGATCTCCAGACGACGTCAGTGAGGATTGTTCTACATCTCCACTAGTACCTTGTGTACTATCACCAATACCGGAACGAAATCATTGCTCTAACTTTAGTGGCTTAATAGAAGAAAAGGTGGGTGATGACCAAATTGAATTTTCAAAAGTGGTTTGAGTTTAAGTTATGAGCGAAATAAGCGAAATAAGCGAAAAAATAAGATTAATACGACCTTTTTGAAACAGAGAAACAATTCAAATTACTCTGAACAGTGTAGGTTTAAGTTACATATATTATCATTAGCACATTAAATCCTGAATTTTCTCAAAATTCTCCCCTTTAAAAGGGGNACTCCNACCANAAATTTTTATTGCATTAAAATGTGTTAAAATTTATCTATTTTTCAAAATTATAGCNAAAAAATTCAAAAAAAATCCAAAATCCCCGAAANACGGCGTTTAAAAAGAAAAANATCAAAGAAAGGGGCCGCCGGGGGACCAAGAATTTCAGTGAGAAACCCAGGCACNGCACCTGACAGCCTTTTTTTCAGGTCGCCGACAGGGGTNTTTTACCGTTTTACCTGCCGGACATGAAATTGAAAAAAATCCGGAAAATTTGCCACATAGGAAAGGCGCCCGCTGCCGTGGCCTAGGTTTCTCACTGAAAATCCTCGTCCCCCGGCGGCACCTTTTTTTGAATTTTCTTCCTTTTCAACGCCGTTTTTCGGGGATTTCGGATTTTTTTTTAATTTTTTCGCAATAATATTCGGAAAATAGATAACTTTTAACACATTTTAATGCAATAAAAATTTTTGGTCGGAGTCCCCCTTTAAGGATCCATCTTCACCGCCAAGCTTACTCAGAAGTAATTATTGTTCATCCCAGCACTCCTTGATTTTCACAAGTTCTTGAAACAGTGTTTTTTTTTGCATTTGAAAGTTGAACTTGTGGATCAAACATATGGGGTCAACTCCAAGAAACCTGACAATAATACAAGTTACTGTTTCAGGATTATTCGCTACCACCTGGACAGAATTTGTCGGAAGCTATTGGAAGTCTGCCGTCTATTTCATCACCAAGTTCAAATGACTGCTTACTTGGTAGCGCAACAAGTGAAAAGGTACTACCTCAACACCGTATACAGAATCAATGTGAAACGGGAATCGAACGAACCACATCCTCGTCGAATCTGCTGGAAGTTACACTTGTAAAATCTCCTAACCGTGTAGCTAGTCCTCAAAACACGAACAAAAGAGGCAGACCACGGATACAGGTTGGAGAGCCCACTACAGTAAGATGTGAAGTCGATGAAAATTTGGAGGAAGAAGAGCTTGATGAGATCATCATATCCCCAACTAAAGATCAGATGTCTAATTCATCTAGAACCCTGAAACCCAATTTCCTAGCTTCTACAACGACCAATTCGAATCCAAATTCGTCTGGAACGCTGGAAACCGATTTTCTAGATGAAGATTCGGTTGTGGACGAGAATCTGGAGGATTCGGACGTTGATGAAATCGAGATTTCATTTAGTCCGATCTGTAGTTCAAGAGCAGTGTCGAATGAAAATGACTCGGGTGTATTTGATGGGATCTCGGTTGGAGGATGTTCTTTGGAAGATGGACTTCCCGATTCTGTTCCATCTGCCGTGGAAATTTGTTCGGAGGATCCTATTGAATTGGATGTTCAAATAGAGGATGGTACCCAAACACAGAATGACTATGAGCCTGGAAATTTGGATCTGCCTTCCTGTCAATCCGATGTCCACGAAAATCCCCTTTTCCCATCTCCAACAGTGGAAAATGAAGGAGAAGTCTTGAATCAAAAAATTGACTGTTCCAAAGATTTTGTGAGTAGCGAAGTCCACAAAGCGTCCAGTAATTGTAACATGTGTGGCGGATATGATTCAGGATCTCTTAATGATTTCGGAAACGACGAGATGGTAGCCTTGCCAAATGCTTTCGTCCGAGAAGAATTATCAGAGTTTTTGGATTTGGGAGCAGGACGCATTTTGATGAAGAAATCCCCTGAAGAACCGTATACGATCCCATTTAGTCGGGTTCATCTCCCCAACCGATTCAAGGGTTCTCGAATTTTCCACTCTTCCAAGGGCAGACTGCCAACAGGCTTCAAATTCAAGCAGTTGGATGACACGGCCCAGAACATCCAGACTACCCCAACCGGTCCATATCCTTCAACACCGGATGAATGGCACATCGAATCGCAGGCCAAAGATATTAGGCGTTTTCTTGAGGTTTGTAGATTTGTAACCTTGAAACTCCTAATTCTCTATTTTTACAGGGACTAGAAACACGGAATATGGATACGTTGAGAGCCATTGATGGAGGAAATGATAGAAAGAAGAACAGCCTGAAACTTCTGAAGACGGTGTTGAACGAGGATTTCGCCAAGGAAGATTTTTCAAAGTATGCTAAAGTGTATGAGCAGGAAATGGAGATAATACCTTTTCTGTTTTTGGAGAATTGGGAGAAAAGTCAATCGGAGCAATTGGCGGTGGAAAGGAGCATTGTGCCGATTCAGTTGAGACACAGTTTGGAGAGAATGGTGATTTAGCGTTGAAATTTTGACATAAACATCAACATATCGTATGTTATCTAAATCAATTTCTGTAAGAGGTATCAAAAACCTGTTTTACATAAGAGTGTTGATGATATTTTTACAAATTTTTAACAAAGGAACCAAAATATTTGAGCGTTAACTGAAAGTACATAAAATGTGTCTGACTACTTTGGAAACTTGTTTCTATGTCAAACGAAAACCTATCGTAGAATTCATACTACCAAAATAACGTTTGTTGACTGGAAAATTTTCAAAACTGGTTTTTTTTAAATTTTCGAATTAAGAAAAAGAAAATAAGTTTAGTCTGTACATCGAAATTACTTAAAAACACCAAACAGTTATGACCTCGAAGCTGCATATAAATTGAGAAATTTTCAAAAAATGTTTTGATCATTACTGAATTTAAAATAAAAATATGTATCCTTGCTAACTTTACATCTGGTGTGATTTCGGTAAATGCAACCAAACAATTGAAAGAAAATAGCCAAGAATTCATGATTTCAATAAAACCGCATATTTTTTCCAGAGACGCCAAGAACTAGACGAAATCTGGACGGAACAGTTCACCAAATACCGCACCCAATATGATCTGGATCATTTCAAAATCAGCATGGTAATCCACATTTTCCCATTATCCCTAATCCCTTTTTTCAGAACTCGAATGCATTTCGGAGCTATGTTGGACCCTGGGAAGCTGGCAGAGTGGCATTTGTCGCCAACTTTCAAGGATACATTGAGCGGATTCTTCGATTCCATTTTCGAGAAATATCAAACACTGAAATTGAGTATCTTGTAGAGGAGTTCTCAAAAGCTAAAACCAACTTGAAACAGAATCTGAAGAAGGAGCTTATTGAGCAAAAATGGATGCCAAAGATTTCTCAAAATGAAGGGAAGCTATTAAGAATGGCCTATTATAGGAATTGGAATAGCTTGGAAGGATTCAAAATAGCTACGATGAGTGTTGAGACGTGCAGTGCTACGGTAGGCATTGGGAAGAATTGGCAACATTTGATTTATGAACTTTTTTTCAGATAAAGCATAACTTCAATTCCCAAAGAAACGGATCAAGAGAATGGGAGAGCTTTGAAGTGTTTCTTCAGAACTTGGTGAAAAGAAATCCGAAGCTCATCAAGGTCCTTCCTTGGGTGATAAGAGATCCTCCAGCCGAGACATCCAAGCGTCTTCAACCACATCGAGCAGCAAAAACATGGACCGATAAAGAGCTGCCGGATATTACGGAGTATCCACCAACAAAGATAATTGGGAATGGGGTGAATTATGAAGATTCGGGTGGTATCCCGTTGTTCGGAGGAGTTCTAGGAGGGGATAAAGAGCAGAAGAAGGAAGACAGTGGGAGAGAAGTTTCGGTGAGTTTTATGATTTAAACATTCAGAAACATTCTATATGGAAGTTGAAGACCTTGAGAAACACTGAGAAATCTTAGAAGAATCAGAATCACTGCTCATTACATCACTCCCTGATTTCCACAAGATCTTGAAACAGTGAACAGTGGTGGGACATTAAAAAAGTTTCCTAGATTTTTAGATGTGTACATTCAAAAGTTGAACTTGTGGAAAAAATTTTAGGCTTTGATATCATTTTGTAGAACTTGTTCTGCAATTTACTATTAGATTCGAACAGAGTTTAGACCAGTTGATCCTTATATGACAGAGGGTTAATGGTTATAAACAATCTTAAGGAAATAATAGAACTTCCAAAACAGAAAACATGAAAACGTAAAAATATGACCATTTGGTGATTCGAAATTTCGAATTGGATTATTCACTCCGAGTTTTTTTTAAATTATTTTCCAAATTTCTGAAAACTTCATCACAGAGAAAAGCAAATACGTTCAAAACAAGGGTCCAACTGGTCCACAATGACCCAGTCATCGGTTTGGCCTAGGCTGTCAAAGATCCTCAGCACGCTCTATTTTTTTATTGTTTGAGTTTCTAAGCTTCTATGAGCTCACTAAGACAACCTCGGTTCAAATGATATAAATCCATTTTTTAGACCTTCAAATTTGCACACTACCCCAAAAATTGGGTCCATGATCCGAACTCCGAAATCGACGAGATCCCTCTAGAAGGGGTGTTGGCTGAAGTCACCAGAAGGGCCATAAAGCGAGAGGCTCTAGAAGTTTCTAAAGACAAGCAACCTGCCAAAAAGAAGTCTAGGAGTGCGAGAAAGGCGAGAAAGATCTAGCACCTTTAATTTTTGGAACTTTAATTTTCTTACAGAAAGTCACACCAGCTAGAAAGAATAAGGGTCGAGGACGCCCAAGAGGTCGGCCAACCAAGAAGCGATAATAATTAGGACAGACTTTTTTGTGGTTTTAAGAAATTTTGATTTCGGTGTATGTGACAAACTGTAACTACAGTAGTCTATTTCGTTTTTATGTACATATTCTCTAGTCTTTTCGCTTGATCTCAGATTTTTTATAAGATCTCATTTTCATTATTGCTGTTGATAGATAAAATTGTCATTTTTTCAATGTTAAAATGAATAAAAGCTATGCATTTTTTTCAGTTGTTTTTTGTTGTATTGTGTTCTCAATAGGTCGTGTTTTAGAATTAATAGTTTTAAAGGGTCACAGTTTCAAAATGTTTGTTAATTTAGATTTGAACATGAACATTAATAGTACGGTCGGAAATCGAAAATATTTCGGTTATTTTTATTTTTATTTACATTTTTTTGAGTTCATAATTTTGAATTTAAAAAATCTTACAAGATACTTTCCCATTGACTCATTTGATAGAATCTTCCTTATTAATAAAACGCTAGAGGCGTCTGTCCGTCCTCGTGTCCGTCTGTGGACTTTTGAAAAAATTGAAAAATAAATATATATTTACGTGACCCTTTTATTTAGAAAAACTGAGAAACGAAGCGACGAACATTTGAAAAAAATATATTGAATCGCGCCGAAGGCGCACCAGCTTGCTGGTTAAAGAATTAAAAAATTTAAGATCTCAGTTTTTCAGAAAGAGAAAAGAGTTGACTCAATATCAAAAAATTCGAGAGCTCCAAAAATACCGTAAAACCTCTAATAGAACGACACCCGGATCGTCCACTTTGAGCCTATATATCTCATTTACTGTGAAAGATATCAAAAAGTGGATAACTAGTAAATTGTCGTTGATATCCTGATAAACATTTTAGTAGTTAACCACTTTTTGATATCTTTCG